GCCACACGCATAGCGGTATGGATCGAGCCACCAGAGGCTCGATCCATCTCTCCAACAAAGACCGTTTTTTTATCGACAATTCTCAAGCCATTCCACATCAGCCACGTTCACGCAGCTGCCGCTGTGCAACCCAGCACTGTACGGGCGTACGGTATCGCTTTCGACAAGGTCGGCAAGGCCATGCAAGGTAAACTTTACAAGTGATGCAGACAGAAATGAACTCACGTGCGGATTCTACAGGCACTGCAGCTGTGCTACACCCAAGCAGTCAAAGACCGTAGTGATTCGACTTCCTCCCCTCTGGCAACGCACCTCCAAATTCGTGCGCGTCTTGCGATGTGTGCTGGTATGAGAATCCGATCGGCTTTCGCAACCTGACAAAGACGTAAGAGACCCAGCTTCTTCTCCATTCCGAAGATTGAAGAGCTACCTACCTTTTGGGTAAGAAGTAAGAGAATGAATTTGCATTCCCTCGGCCCCTCAATTGGCAGCTGCCATATGATCACGATATTCGTGTAGTCATAGAGAACAGAAGGACACAAGTTTTACATCTGGCGAAAACATAAGTTTCACGACGGTATCAAAACCCAGTGAAAGCCCTTGCCCTTCATGGGCGCTGTCTCTCTTATCTGTGTATCTTTGGACAGGGAAGTGAATTGCGCGGGGCGCTACCCAGTCGTTTTAATATCTCCTCGATATCAGGGATGGTCGCGCGAAGCCGGGCCTTCCTTTTTTCGCCGGTCGCGGGCGATCCGACTTCATGGAAACGATAAATTATGAGATCGAAATTACCTCTTCAAAATCTGCGCCACGTATTCGTGTGACGGAGAGGGAAGCCGTCGAGTGTGTACCTACCGGTATTTTCATTCATTCTATGGCTTCTAATAACAATTGCAAACGAGGACCGTATCCGTGACCTCAATTGCACTTCAAACGTAGGACATTAGTCTCTTCGCTTGGAAAGCGAGCGGCGTGCCATTCTGTTCTGTTGCGTGAATCAGTATACTGCACGCGCGGTACCGTGGTTCCGCGTTGTGGCCCAGAATTACAAACTCGTGAAGAGCGGTTATGAAATCGAAAACTACACTGTACCACTTTCAGACCGTCAGCGGATGTCTCGCATGCTGCAGATGCACGGTTTCGGTCTACACTCTTCAATATTCGAATTATACCAGCCTTGCTGCGCATCACGGATGCAAAGCAAAACCGATGTGTTAGATGCGCCAGCGATTCCAATCTGGAGCTGGTGGAATCGGCCTTGTTGGGCGGGCTACGCACAGGGCGTCATAGGGATTACTATTTTGCTATCTTGCTTCTTCTGGACTTGTCCAACGCTCAGGAAGGAAGGAGACTACTGTGACGCTGCGTTAATGGATTGTTGCAACCACGCAGGCGATCGTAGACAAAGAGATGTCTACGGCAGATTGAAATCTTGCAGGCAGCTACTCACAGCAAAGAGAGGCGAAAAAGATGCACATCCAGGCCGCTCTAATCCGGTCCTCAAAAACAACAAGACCTGGGGCTGGCTGGAAATCCTTTTCGCGTTGGCGATTATGAATTCCTGTGTGCTGTACCATATGAGGGTGCGATCATGGCTGGATAAAAACAGTAATGAAGAGTGTGCATGTGCTTGCCCCTGGTAGGAATATTTCGGGGCAAGTCTGAAGCAGATACTTGAAACTCACACATGTACAGTACCAAGGGTATCACTGTAACGCCAATAGTTCTCCAAAAGGAGTTGACCAAAGTTTTAGTTCCACTGGTAAACGGATGAAGTGACTTACAACGCAGAAAGTGATCCAAGTTAAACACCTTAACAACGTCTTAAGTCACCATCCTAAAAAGGATGGTGAGTCAAACCATTGGTTTACAGTTGGGAGATTTTTCTATTTCAGCGGGGTACGTACTGGACGCCAGTATGACCTCTTTCAACCACTCGTTTCGCAATTCCAACAAAACGATGCGCTGCCAGTTCAAGCAGACAGCCCCTGCCCCGTCTCTCGGCAGTATTCACTTCCATTCCCTGAAGATACGCACGCATCTTGCCTGAGCTTTCCTCAGAGGAGATCGTTCCCGCCAGCCTACCAAAATCCCCTCTCCTTTCCCAGCAATACCTGCTGTCCAGGCCGCGCCTCTCCAGTATCTTCCCCTTCAGCGTCAGCACTTCCTTGGACTTGGGCTCAGTTTCATCAATGCAATTACAAGGCCGACTCAAAACACCAGGTCTCAAATGTGATGCAGTACACCTAGTTTTTGTTACGTGCAACCATTTCATCCACGGGCGCCCAACGCGCAGACAGGACTTTGCGCAGACAGGACTTTGCTCACATCGGCCGATGTTCAGGAAAGGGGACACAACGTGACGGCAAACCCCTCCCTTTTGTGTGCTTGCTACTTACTTCGTTCCATCAAACAATAACCAAGAATTGCCAAGGCCCTTGAACAGATTTGGCCTATCCCGTAGATCCAGCATGGCATTGAGCAATATCCGATACCTAAAGTTTACCCTTGCGCTTCAAAATCTACGGCTGACAAGGTCCCTCCTTCCGGCCCCACATGGAGCCGTCTTCTGCAATCATCAGCACCTTTTGTTACTACTGCCGTAACAGTGCTGAATAGTACGGTATATCATATCAATGCTTCATCGAAAAGAAGAGGCTTCGCTTTCCGAAACGCTATCGACGGATAGATAGCATCGTCAAGGGCCGTACACTGTAGGTTGCGCGGTCCACATTTCATCTAGACAAGTTCCCTTCCATTGGCGTTTCTCTTCCTGTTCATTGTAATGCAACTGCAATTAGTGCAACCAAAAATCAATAGGCTCTATTTAAAGGAGGGGCCTCACCAGTCACATTCTTGTATCAGTCACTTAGCGACCTACCACAGCGTCCATGCCATTGCAACTTGCAGCCAGAACCTCAGGAAATGAGACCCGTCCCGATGAATAGAAATTCTATCATAAATTCCTACCAAAATGACTCATTCTGCCACATCCACTCTAGGGCTGCACGCATACCTTATGTTTGAGTGCAAATATTATCGTTCGAGGCCGCCAAACGTGCAGTGCTATATAAGATTTTGAAGAGAATGTTGTAATTCTCATGCAATGTAGATCGCTTGCCTCCACCGCCATCACATGTTCCAAGGTGGGAATGGTTGCTTTTCCTCGATGTCGAGTCCTATCCATCTCAGCGAAACGAAAGCAGGCGGTTCGCTACGTGGAAATATGAATGCGCCACATGTATTCTTCTAATAAACCTATGACAGCAGGATGAATTTGGAACTGACGCCCCACGAGCGAGGTCTTTGGCAAAGTCGATGATACGTTTATGACACAGTTCTCAATCGTTGCGGCTACAGTATTACGGATCAAGTAAAATCCCTGGAGAGTAGGCAGTACCAAGGGAACCAAGTGAAAAAAGGTACAGCATCATCGAAACAAACCTTACGCTACATCAGTTAACTCACTTCTAACCTCAGTTAGATGCACATATCTCATTTTTCAAAACTACATTGTTGCAAACGCTCCGGTCGTAGCTGGACAGGCATGTGAAGCCGTCATCGGAGACCTGCCTGTCTCCACGTAGGAAAGGAATCAGGGCACGCATTCTTTCTTTGCGTATGCTCTTTGAGGAAAGACTGTACGATTCACACGGACTGCTGTTGCTGCAGTGAACGACTGTACACATACCTCAACGTATCGTACATTCGTCGAAACACGGCGGGACCACCTGGCGCTCACGCCTATGTCATTGAAATTTCACGAAAGCGATGCGCCCCCGTTGTCATCAATGCCTATTCAAGCACATCGTTTGCTTCGATTTCCCCAGGAAGTTTTAGAGCTTGTTCAATATCAATTTGCCGCTCAGGCAACGATGGCACAAAGGTTGACTCTGCAATCCTGTTCCACAATGTCATACAAGGCCCTTTCCGTTCCAGACAATCTGAAGCCCAACAGAAGCTGCACAGAGACATGATTTCAGTGACTTTGCATCATCAGGAATAACATTAATGGACCGCTGCACAGGGAAACTTGCTGTTGCAGCAAAAAAGAATATTATGGACTTTAGAGAGGTGTGATTATCAGTATGAACAACCTTCTTCAAATGGCAAGTGTTCTTAAACTAGGTAGCACTCGAAGAGAGACATGGAAGCTGACATGTGCGCCGGTGGTACCATCCACGAGTACAGTGGCGTATCTTGAAAACTTTTCGCTTTGGGTTTCATTTCATCCCAATAAACACGTAGCCGTTTCACCAACAAAGATTCCACAGAGAAAGATCGCAATCTGGTTTGGAGTTGTCATATGGACCACGCGCCTCTTTCCGAGGGCCGTGTTGTACTTCCGATGATCACATCTCGTTTCTTCAAGTTGCGGTTTGACACATCAACTTGCGCTGTGCACGCAAGGCCGGAGAGAATCACGGTGCTTTCCCTCGGAGGGCCAGTCCCAAGAGGAAGGCAGAGGGGGATAGGAAGCTCAATACTGCGCTTGTTTGAGTAGCATGACGCCTCTCCATGTTGATTCTCATACACGCACGGAAAAAAAACTTGCACTTTATGAAATTCAAACTTTTAACAAGGTTAGTGGGCCCAGTGTAAACGATATGGCAACTTAAATGACTTTCGGAAAACTAAGTGTACAGTAGCGGGTGGTGGTATGGAACACATTTGTACACGGAACTCTTTACTTTGAAGACGCTCCTGATTACACAATGGACTAGCCATAATGGCTGACAATGTGTAAATCGGCTGCGTCTACCTTGATCTGCGGTGCGATGGAAGCCAGACCGAACCATGCGTGCTGTCAAAAATCTCCTTCGGTAGCTGTGACCAAGCTCCAGCAGTGCTCGTTGCATGAAGAAGCCCCCAAAGAATTGGGTGTGCCTCCCTGCCTGAGACGGATATAAAAGAAGAACCCAAGGCCCCCCTTGCCCTCAACACACACCTCCCACGCCAGCTCCCACGCCAACTACTTTCTCACAGGCTCTCACCTCTTTTCAGGCGAAGGAAGATCCATTCCTGTACCGAGAGAAACATACTAGCGTTTCATTGTCAACCATTACGTCCGTCCCCAAGATGAAGTTCGCCGTGGCCTTTTCATTTGTATGTCTGATCTCTTTGACCCAGGGAACTATCTTGGGTCCCCGCTGCGATAAGCCTGGGCAGGTATGCATGCCTGGAAAGGTGTGCGCAGGGACTCGGCGAGTGAAGAAGTGTGTCAAACCGATGGGAGAGGGACAATTCTGCAAGGGAGATCCGTTCTGGGTTTGCGGGTCGGGATTAAAGTGTCGCGATCGGGTATGTGTGAAGTCGTCAGTGAAGGACCCTCGAATTCGTTGCGATCGGCCTGGAGTTGTGTGCCCTAGTGGGACCAAGTGCGTCGGAAACAAGGTGAAGAGATGCATTAGGCCGATGAAGGAAGGGGGAGAGTGCCGGAATGATCCCTACTGGATCTGCGCATCTGGTCTAGAATGCCAGCGCAGGAAGTGCGTCAAGGCGACTGGCAAGGCACCTCCCGGTGGTCGTTGCGAGGAGAAGCCATGCATCGACGGAGAAGTGTGCGCGGGAATTGCGGTGAAGAGATGTATCGTGCCGATGGGCCCCGGGAAGGAATGCAGGAACGATCCGTTCTGGATTTGTGAGAAGGGAACGTTCTGCAAGGATAACGTGTGCACGTTCATGGTGGAGGAAGGTGAAGATTGTCTGAGAATGGGAGCGATGTGCGTGGCGGGGGCGAAGTGCGTGGGGACTAGTACCAGGAAGATCTGCAAGAAACCGATGGTGCTCGGAGGCGTGTGCAACAAGCTGGATCCGTTCTGGTACTGTGACGTCGGGCTCAGGTGCTATTGGGGTACGTGCGTGAAGGCTTGAGTTTTTTCCGAAGACTTAACCAGAGTAAGTTGATTGAGGGCGTAGTAGGTGCTGTAGAAAAGACGTTTTGTCAATGATTGTAATTCTAGATAAACTCGTGGTTTTGCATGGTACATTTGCGGTCACGTCGACGAAGTTGTCGGTCTCAGCTTGGAGGAAACTCGACAATTATAGAAGCAGTGTTTCCCTGCGTGTTACGGTCTTCAGCTTTGAAGAAAATCAGTATTATGGAAGCAGGGAGAGTAGAGAGACATGTAACCGGAGTTGTGTGCAGTGCGAGTAACATGTAATGGTGCGAGGGCGGGGCGGGGTGTGGATGTTGTTTATGTAAACAGCTGTAAACAGCAGGCCGCAAGACAGGATTTAAAATGGGACAGTGGCTGACACTGGGGCCCAGTGTCGATGAAGACTGACGGCACCTACTTACAGCGATTTGCTGACAGTCCCGAGATTCCACCAACAAACATCCGGCAGGTGTCCAAGACTATTGATATTCTGATATCAGCCAGGATACCTCTCATCTCCTCTCTCGCCGATCCTTCCTCGCCGACCTCCTTGCCCAACCGCCCTTCCCCCCGCCCAGTCTCCCCCCCGCCCAGTCTCCCCCCCGCCCAGTCTGGAGACTGCAGACTGCAGCCCCTAAGCTTTTGTCCTTTCCCGCGCCCCTCTTGCCCCCGTCACTAGCCACTCTCGCGACAATGCCCAACAAGTTTCTTTCCAAACGTCACATAAACACAAAACCCTGCCAACAACTGCTTCACCCAACAAAACCCCTTATTCGCCACCCATCCACCAAATCATCACCACCGCTTGTGCACTCCACCTTCACGTATCGTGTCTGCTCGTCACTCTTTCCCTTCCATCCTACCAATGTATGAACACGACCGCATTCCCACTTCAACCAACCCCTCCTCCGCAACGCACCACAACCCTCCAAACCGTTGTCCATAAATGCCATTCATATTCTCTTCCGTACCACCACATAAAGAATAGCATCTTTGGCGATAACACGCTGACATTAATCGATCGCGCACTAGTGCCACCGATGCGCGATGCACACCTCGTTCCATTCACTCGAGACTCGGTGGTGGGGAAAGGCTTTGCCCTAATCCTCCTGCCGCATCACTCAACACTAATTTCTCCCCTCCCCCCCCCCCCCCCCATGAAAACACCCTGAAATGCCCTTCGTAACTGACAAGTCCACATACATGCAAAGATCTTTGCACATTCCACCGAAACCTTCTCCACTTCTCCACACATCTTGCCCCCCTTTCCCACACCAGTCGCCTTCTGTCCGGATTA